TAGAGAGCAATGTTTTCGAGTGAGATATCAAAAATACAAAAATTATTAATAGCTACAAAGGACAGGAAGTTGCGGAGAGCCATAATCGCCAATGCCCGGAAGAAGCACTGTACATAGCAGAAGAAGGATTATCATATCGAAATTTCTCCTGAGATTAATGATCAACTTGTGAGGATCGAACTCACTATTCTGTCGTATTTGATATAGCAGCAATCGCTTGTTAACATTACCCCACGCCTAAGCGCCGAAAATGCTTTTCTAACGTTAGATATAACACAAGGCCGAAAGTGCGGTGCACCCAATGTTGGTCGATCGAATCGTAACGAAAACATGCTTGCTTGCCATTAGACCACGTCGAATTACCTTGACATTCAATACAATAAATTCCTTCAAAACTAACAGGTTGATAAAAAGTGTTCGCTATTGCATTGCTTTGAGTTCAAATTATTTAAAATGTTATATGATATATCCTTTCTGGCCGAGGGTAAACATGGCTCTCTACAATGTCCTCTTCTGTACTGCTCGAAATAACATTTCTCTCATTCTGCTGGATTGACTTGCGACGACCTTGTGCATAACTGTTACCTTTATTCTTATTGTATTGTTGTTTTTTTTTACAATAAACCATTACTTATTTTATCCACCTTGTTTTTCAAGTATATAGTTTTATTAGCATGGAATATAACCATTTCCCTTCATGTATAATGGAAAAAGGGCAGTAAGTCACTCCTTCAGTTTATCAACAGCCATGCTGATGGAAGGCGTAAAAGTTTCCTTTATTTTGAACAATAAATATCAGTTTCGTTTTCGATGTGCTAAAATTAACAAGCCACTTCATGTCCCTGTTGAAAACAGATTGTAAATCATTTCCAAGATCAGTTGACAATTTAATTTTATCAAACCTATCAGAGTTACTATAAAGACAGGCGTAAATAGATGTGTATTAGCAAAGATACAGAGTCGCAAAGTGATGACATCAAGAAGATCATTGACGAAAAGAGTGTACCCAAAAAGAGAGCCCTGGAAGAAAACCGCATTGATGTGAAAACATCTCTGGAGTGTCGTTCATGACAACATTGATTGCGACCTTTGTCAAGAAAGATTTAATCAAATCAAATACCAGACCAGAATCATTATAAACATCCAACTTCCAAAGAAGGCTAATATGACAAACCCTTTCTTCATATTTTCTAAAACCCACATCAGCGGTTGGACTGGAAAAATGGGAAGGAGAGATAAAAAAATATGTAAGTTAAGCAACGTTGAGACTGCTACGTATCCAGATGGGTAACCGTTTTGGGAATAACAAGAAATTTAAAAATGGATGTGCGGGTGGTGTGATCAATAATGGCTTGGAAATGTTAATCGGAGAGCCGATGTTCTACTTCCAGTTGGGTTCATTATATTTACTTACACGAAAATACAATTGGGAAAAGTATAAAGCCGCCCCTTCTCCCCACCAGTTAAGTGTTAATAAGTAAAATCTGTGTATCACTTAAATAATTATCATCGAAAATAAAATCCGTACAAAATATTTAGATTTCGGCATTAAATAACACATATATGTTTATATGCCATTAAAGAAAACAACCAACCAGTCACCAGTGGGTCGAGAACTTTTCAGCAGCTTCACACATCTTGTATCATAATTATCTACATTCTGACTTTCGTGTATCCATTTTTGTTTCCCGCAATCTTTGCCTATTTTTCATATTACGTTATACATTCACTAAAAAATAAATTCTCCGATGAAATCAATTTACTTCGTCACTCTTATACTTTTTCTCTCTAGGCAGAATAAAAAAAAAAAACAAGCATTTTCTTTAAACATTCTTGAAGCATCACTTATCGTTCTTTTTTTCCTTCTTTCTTAACAACGCATCTCTGTTGTTGGAGGAAGACGACAGAACTTCTTTTACAAGAAATTATTCTGCAACTATATTTACCAAGAAATGTTTCATTGGAGAAACAAGAATTCTTAAAGTATCAGCGCTATTAAAACATTTTTGATTCCATTTGTGAGACCATTGATTTTCATCTTATTTCCAGACGAAATATTTCACTGATTTTTCTTCACCAACATTAAAAGAACCGCTTTTCATTATCTTTCGTCTTCCTTTCATGTTTTTTTTCCCTAATTTATTGGAGTTATTACACCTTTGTTACTCATGAAAATTAGGAAAATTAAATTTTATTTGCAAAAACGGAGAAAACCCATGAAAAAAGAGAAGCCATTACTCTCAAATGTTTCTCGATGTTCTTTCTGAACGATATAATGATGTCTTGTTTGTGTTTACCTTTATGGACTGTCAGCCTCTACCACTTTTGGTCGTCATTAATTTATGTTCTACGTATTCGAAATCGAAATGCCAGAAATTGCCGCCGGATTTTCCCTTTGTTTATTTTTGGAAAAGACAATATTCTCACAGTAATATATGTGCCATTTTCATTTATATTTTTTTTCTATTTTTATCCAGGGTCCGATCATCCAACTTGTAAAGAAGGCCACTATGGCAAATCCAGTCTTCATACTTTTTAAAGCAAAAGCCCAGGCTTCGATATTTTTTTCTAAAGGTTGACAGACCCTTTCTGCAATAAATATCACCACATCAGTGGTTGGCCTAAAAAAAAGAAATCCTTATTTCTGTCTCCATTGTGTGATATATAAACAATTCGGAATTTATTAGAGCTTCTATTTTTGAGAAGGAGAGATAAAAAAATAGGTCGATACTTCGAAGTATCAGGCTGTTTGTTTAAACATTATTTCCCGTATAATCACCGAAGTTAAGCAACGTTGAGGCTGCTACGTACCCAGATGGGTAACCGTTTAGGAATAACAAGAAATTTAAAAATGCATGTGCGGGTGGTGTGATCAATAATGGCTCGGAAATGTTAATCGGAGAGCCAATGTTCCACTTCAGGTCGGGTTCATTATATTCACTTACGTACAAATACCGTTGGGAAAACTATATATCCGCCTCTTCTGCCCACCAGTAAAGGGATATGCTGATTACACCAGAGTTTATGGAAGCACCTGGAACAATCACGAGATTCTGAGCTTTACCCCAGATCTCTCCGCTGGCCGAGCTTTATCTGAAAGTGGGGGGGGGATTTGCTAATAAATTTCAATACCTCAAGAACTAAGCTAGTAAAATGTGATCACCACAGATCCAACCCTAATATTGCTCCTGTTACAATGATCGTTTCACTCTCAATGAACACCCGTCATCAAGGTCTCTGATCGGCTGTTTTTGAGGAGCGTGAAGCTACCACTTCATTACTGTTTTCCCCAAGTTAGGGGTGGTAGCACCTGTTGGTGTCTCAACTATGGGTATAGTTAATCCCCAAACTGGGGTTAATACACTATGAAATTTTAAAAATATATTTTTTATAATACAGACTCCATATCCGTACTCACGGCCAACAATAGCAAAAACATAAACAACCCACTAATCACAAAACACCTAATTGATTTAACTCAATATTCAATCAAAAACACATCATAATCCCTCTTAATGAATATATTAAATTTAAAAATTCCCTTTACAGACTTGAAAGCCACAATTGACTCATACATCCTCAACCAATGGCAAAAATGCATTCATAAACAACAAACTGCATCAATAAAACCCATTCTGACTGTGCATCACAATAGCAGACACTCAGGAAAAGATGATGCGACACTTACAGGAAACAAAATTGGACACACCCACATAACGTCCCCATTCTTGCTAAAAAATGTAGACAATCTAAAATGCCCAAAATGCCAAAAAGTATTCAGTTTCAAACATGTTTTTTCAACCGGCAAATAACTGCCACATATATGTGAATACTTATAAAATATACCCGATATTATGGTAATCTTTGAGAGTGTCAAATATAAGGTCATTCTAGAATTCGCAAAAGTAACACAAATCTACCCGAAAATATAAAAAGGAAACCGTATAAACACCAGTCTACAAAATGGAAATAAAAACGAATCCCATCCCCACCTTTATATAATAAAGACTTATAAGAGAAATTGTTTGCAAAATAAATATAGAATTAAAAAAAAAGCAAAAAATCAAACAAACTTAAATCTCCCCGATTCGGCGCGAAATGACCTTTTTGTCTGGTGTACTGGTACAATAACTTACCTAAATCTAAATCACTCTTATTTGACTTCCATACGCTTAACAGTTGATGAATAACACAACAGATCTCGTTTTATTTTTTTGGCATGAATATATTTTTTCCATAATATATGACCCGCCACGGTTTGAGCCAGCGCTGCGAGACTACGACCATCGATTTTCCAAGAGGACAGCGTGGTGTGAATCGCTGTGACCAACAACCAGCTAGGGATAGCGTCAACATTGACCAACAGAGAGTTAGCCGCGTCGGTTAAACGTCATTGCAAGACCTTGCGGACAAGACCGCTAAAACATCGTTACACCGGCGGGTGTAGGCTGCGGTGAAACGTGTTATAAACTCGCAGCTTTAAGACGTACAATTTTAGTGTTCAGGAAAGCAGTAACGTGACTTTCTTTCTTCTCGGGACTGGCATAATTGTCTTTGTGACAAATTCAATTTTAAGATTTTTTTCTGATCCTTTCCTGGGCTTCACTTGTCAAGCGAAAACACAAACCAGATCACATTTTCATTTAAACCTTCCAAGACATAGATAAAGATTATTTTCCAATGTGTTTTCGTCCATTAAAATTTATTACCTTATCTAAATTATCAACAAATGAGACGCAGTTTTCCATCCTTGGACCGGTCGCCCTCCTAGCAAAAACATAAACCAGATCCCTTGCTTTTTATGAGCATTGATATTTAACCACAACACAGGTTAGGGCCACAAGTAAATAGCAGCATATCCTCCTTATTCTCACAAAAGTCACCGGCTTCTACGTTCTCTCAATTTTCTATAAAACCCCTACGTCAGAAAACTTATACTATAAATGGCTCTAGCATTTTATATTGAGTGAACATTACTGTTAATGACAGGGACACTTTACATATCCCTGAAGAAGAAGAAGAAGAAGAAGAAGAAGAAGAAGAAGAAGAAGAAGAAGAAGAGGAGGAGGAGGAGAAGAAGAAGAAGGAGGAGGAGGAGTAGGAGGAGAAGAGGAAGGGGGAAGGCGAAAGAGTGAAATAAGAAACATTACACTATATGTACAAGTAAAAGTAAATATACTCAATTTCAGCTCATTTCTCATTTCAACTGAGCTCGAAAGAAACTTATGAATCGATTGAAAACGAGAGATACGAGCAAATATTATACCAATGAGACAGATAGGCAAACTAAGGCAGAAAGAGTAGATTATACAAACAGACGACGTAAGCTGAGCCAACAAACGGAAATAAAAGAATTCAATGGAACCAACAGACAACAATATATAGACTGAGACAGTCAGAAAGACAGACAGAAAGACGTGCAGGCTATGACACGTAGGAATAAGGACGTGTAAAGAGATGGCGGTAAACAGATATAATCTGACAAAAATGGACATAGACAGATATTAGGTAGATTTAGAGAGATAGACTAAACAGACAGAGGTGCGTAGACAGATAACTAAAGACAGAGGGAGACGTAGACATATGGAGAAAGAAAGAGATACATTGACAAACTTACAGAAATAGGAAGAGACTTCCATTAACATGATCAAACTGAAAAATAGATAGAGCGAGAGAGAAACAGAGAGGGACAGACTGATATATATATATATATATATATATATATATATATATATATACAAACACACAGATATACATATATACATATATATATATATATATATAACACACACACATATATATATATATATATATATATATATAAAACACACAGATATATATATACACACACAAACACACAGGTATACATATATATATATATATATATATATATATATATATATATATATATATATATATTAATCGATTCATCCGAAAGACGACAATATCCCAAGGACGGAGGGTTGGTTACAGGGGGTAGAGTATGGTGGAGAGAAGTGAAACAAAGACAATAAAGGAATATGTTTCAGAAAGGCAGAATATAGCAGTTAACGTTGCATTTAAATATTTGATGATTGTAGATGGCAGGGAAGGAAAAAAATCGGGAAGAATTAGCACAAGTGAGAAAAGAAACTATTAGATCTCAAATGGCGGTTGCATCAAGCTATTCAACGGTCGAAATTTTTGGCCCATTTGTACCCAGTTGTCAATCTTTCTCTCAGACAAATAAATGCATCTAAAATATATTCTATCTTTGTTTCCATTTCAATCTTTTTTCTCTCTGTCTGTCTCTCTCTCTGTCTCTCTATCTGCCTGTCTCTGTCTCTCTTTCTATATATATATATATATATATATATATATATATATATATATATATATATATATGAGAGAGACAGAGAGAGAACTTAGATATTTCAGATTTTCTATGAATAAATCTAAAAATATGTTTTAGGTATTTATCTATCTATATGTCACTCTCTCATTCTCTCTCTACACACACACACACACACACACACACACATATATATATATATATATATATATATATAGACAGAGAGAGAGGATAGATAGAAAGAGAGAGAGGATAGATAGATAGATAGATAGATAGATAGATAGATAGATAGATATAGATAGATAGATAGATAGATAGAGAGAGAGACAGAGAGAGAGGGGGGATAGATAGATAGATAGATAGATAGATAGATAGATAGATACGTCCTATTTTTTTTTCAGATTTATTTTCTCTAAACACTTGCCGTTGGTCAAGTCGATCGAAATCAATGTCGGCCACAACTGGTCAATGTTTCCTTTGGAAAACGCAGAAGAGACGGTATAGTGAATCGTATCATAAAGTGCGAATATTACAGTGGAGAGAGTTAGCCACCTGCTCTCCTTTGCTCCACAGGTGTTAAAATAGCAGAACTAAACCAACCATAATGTTTTGCCGTGCATGATTGATCACCACTTTCCTGTCTTTCTAAAGATGCTGTTTGCGTTGATGGAATAATTTCTAGACGATATTTAAATTGTCGACTATACTGCATAAATCGTAGATAACCTTCAAGTGCAGAGGAAAGATAGTTTCGCTTTCGTCGCGTCTGCAAGACGCTAATCGAATTAACGAAAATATAAAAAGTGCAAAACACGTTCATGAAGTTTTGTACAGCGAAAAACTTCTTTACAAATACAAGCTATAAACAGAGATTTATAGACGTTAAAAACTACAAAATGTGAGGAGTCGTGGCATATATATATATATATATATATATATATATATATAATATTGTGTGTGTACGTGTGTCTGTGAAATTATTAATATATATATATATATATATATATATATATATATATATATATATATATATATAAGTGTATGTTGTCATGTAAGTAGGGATGTAAGTGTGGGTGGAGCTGTAAAGTGAGAAGGGGTGTTGATAGAAATATTTCCGACTAAGAAATAAAACATATATTTCTTACATATATATTTATTTATATATATATGAGATATTTATTTTATGTATCAGGTCATCCCATAAGTTCTGTCCGAATTTTGAATAAAGAAAACAAGTGACCAAATGTTACAGTTAATTGCAGATTCAATCAACAATGTATTTTCCCTGATTATCTATCACTTGCTTCAATCTATTAACAAGCTTACTAATTCCATTACTGCAAAACTCTTTTGGCTTTGATTAGAAGAACTCACAAATGTCAGTTTTAACCTCTTCCTGTGTTACAAAAGCTCATTCTTCCAAATTATTCTGTAAGTTACGAAACAAATGAAGGAGCAAGATCGGGAGAATAAGGTGGATGAGGAATTTTCTCCCAACCAAGTTCTTCGATCTTTTGTGACGTGATTCTTGCTGTGTGTGGCCGCGCATTTTCCTGATGAAACATCACCTCTTTTTGATTCTTTTTCCTTAAAGCTTGGTTCAAACGCTCTAATTGCTGACAGTATATTTGAGCAATAATTGTTGCATTAGGTGGTAAGCATTCAAAGTGGATTATGCTTTGGCGATCCCACGAGATTGAAAGAAGAACGTTTTCCCCATGAATTCCTTTTTCGTCACCAGTCACAAGTCTATCCAAAAAAGTTGAAACAAGTTGGCGAGAATGGAGAGCAGATGTCAACTCGGGATTTGAGGTTGTTTTCAGACAATTCATGAGGGACACATTTTCCAAGTTTAGGAACATTTCCAAGTTGTTGAAGATAACGATGAACAGTTGTATGGTTTGAAGTGAGAAGAACTGCCAATTCCTTAACTGGTAACGCAGGATTTTCTTCAATGGCTGCTTCAAGAAGCTTTTCATCAAACTCAACTGGACGTCCGGTTCGATCTTCATCTTCAAGGGTGAAATCTCCACCTCTGAATTTTGCAAATCATCTTCTGCAAGTTCTTTCATTCACACATTCCTCTCCATAAACTTAGTGAATGTTTCTAGCCGCTTCGGCTGCTGAGGTTCCTTTCTTGAACTCATAAAGCATTATGTGCCTCAAATGATTCTTGGGTACTTCCATGTTAGCAGGGTTTTAATCAAACAAAATTTAATTTTATTGTTCTCTGAAATAAAATTTGATCAGTTTAAATGCATCTAAACATAAAAATAATGTTTATCTCAATTAGGCATTATAAAATACTCTTTAAATTTCGTTCATTTTAACAAAAAGGTAAAATTCGGACAGAACTTACGGGATGACCCGATACATACCTATATATGCATGCCTAAATTTTCCCCAAAACACACATATGTGATTTTAGAAGTATATCCCTATATAATGTATGCATTGCCATCCAGGTATCTTGAGTTAACACACTGCGATTTTCTTCTCTCGTGTTGGTTAAAGGAATATGTCTACTATACCAAACCAAGAGATTGGAATAACTTGAATGCCGGCCACAAGAGGTTATCTCTTCCATACCACAAATGTTCCGGCTGGACTAATTGGTGCGATTCCTGGGCATCTCGAGAATACGGTAGCGAAATATTGTTCCCGTATCGATTTTTAAATAAAACCTCATGCTTTCATATCCTATACATTTCTTGTAAAATTATACTTAATAAATCATGTATTTTAAAAACGGAGTTAATTTTCAACTAATATATATATATATATATATATATATATATATATATATATATATATATATATATATATTATAAATTAACAGATTTAAAATGTTTTTTCATTAAATAGAGTAATAACCATGTTTCAAAAAATGGAAACTAAAAAGCTTCGAATTTAATTTTGTAATTAAATTAAAAACATTAGCTCCATTTCATCCTCAAGGGGATTTTTGAGTAAGTTATTTTTTTTATTTTACTGAGTTTTAAAGGCAGAGAAAAATTCATAATTCTCTGTTTTCAAGTATACAGAGAGATCCAATCATTCAGACAAGGGTTGTAGCGTGTTCAATTTTATTAACTTTTGTTGTATCAGTTATTAGTTACGTTCGAAAAAGGGGCTATGTTTAGGTAAGATAGGGATGTATTTTTCAACAAATACTGACATCCGTTAAATGCATGTCGTCTGGTTTTACTTTTTTTTTTAATTTGTACTGTTAACGGCAAAAAATTTGTACACTTAAAGATTTTTTAGGGATGTTTACGTTAGAATACTTTTTATTTAACTAAAATTTTAAAATATTTTAATTTTTAATTTTTAATACACAATATTTCTTTTAAAACAAGTATATGTACTAGAATTATATTTTTTCATATCAAGTATAAGTATAGATATTACCAGGTCATATTTTCTGAATATTTTATTTTTAAATGTTATATAATATTCCATGGATATAATTTATTACATTGTAATTGCAGTCACGATCCAAATCATCAGATTTACAATTTTTGGGGAATTTGTATGTCTGATTATTTGGATCGTGATGATGATTCCCATGTAATAAATTATAACTATGGAATATTAGTGTTTATATTTTATATCATATTATATATATATATACATACATATATATATATATATATATATATATATATATATATATATATATATATATATATATATATATATAATTATAATATTTGATATTGCTACATCCCTGAGGAAATTGTAGTTAGTGTTCGGAAGCTTCTAAAGGTGTAATGTGGACAGATAAGAATCAGAATGTGCAGGCAACTGGCAGTTTCATGCCTAAAGTGATCATCTGATCTTATCTGTTAGCCACCACGCCTTTTTATGACATCAATGAATAGACATTTGTGGAAAGAATTACTGACTCCCCCACCATTTTCATAATTACAAATAAATCCATAACGTCTCACATTTTCATTGAAACTACAAGCGGTTTTTTCACAATGTGATGAAATAAGAGATTTGTAAGAATGTTCAGTGACACCGGCGTCAAAATGTTTGCCTTAATATCAAACAATAAATCTAAACAACACCAAAAATAGATTTTACATAGAAAAAATAATTATAGTAATTTTGACTCAATAATCAATTGCTTTTAGTTGTTTCTGATAGTTCCACACAAGATCACTACACACACTGATACGTATTTTGTACCATTCTTCCTTAGGAAGAGCTTCTAGTTCCTTCAAATTCAAAGAACTTCTTTCTCTTTCTTTTTTTGTTCACATATGCTCATAAATTCTTACCGGGGTTTAGATCAGAACTTTGTGCAATGTACGCTAATACCGTTATTTTGATGTCATTTATGTATTTTTCTAAGAATTCGTGCCGTATGTTTCGGGCTATTGTCATGTGTTCCAGTGAAACCCCCAAAACAGCTTTTGTGCACTTTGTTTTATATTATTTTTAAGAATAGCCTAATACTGCTGTTTATCCAAGACAAGCTGACATCTCACTAGTTCTTGGGATCCAGAAGCAGCAAAACCTCCCCAGAGCAGACCTCTCCTACCACCGTGTGTAATTCTAAGGATGGCATTTTTTTTTATTTTGACATTCATGCACTCTCCTTCATACATAACGAGAGTTCATATAACCAAATAATTCTAGTTTGGTTTAATCTGACTATAAAAGAGAGTTGCAATGTCTACTCTCTTGTCCGAGACTTCTTCTCGCATACATTTTAGGTGTTTAACCTTAAGAAAGTGAATTTTTCCTTGGGCAGTCCTGCTCGATGAAAGCGTCTTTCTCGATATATTCAACTCTGATGTATTTACATTGTTGACAATGTCCTTTGTCGGTAAGATAGGACTCTTCATGACACCTATAAAATTTTTCATTTCCATTAAATTAGCCGTAAAAAATAAAAAATAGGACAAGATATCAAACAATCAATCAAACCCTGAAGATTACAGTTTTAACCTTTTGATCCCTGCGTGCCTGAACAGTTTTACCCCTTCTGCCTGAGCTCCTGAGTCAAAATCAGCAAATAATTGGTATGCAATGTTTCACGGTAGATATAAAAATAGTTACAAGTTTTTGCCCACCGGTCAACTAAGTCTTTTTCTCAACCACTGTTTAACCGATGGTTGGGTATTACGTTATTTTTTTTTACTGCCAACGGTAAAGCGGTGGTCATGGGTCAAAGGGTTAAACTCTTCAAGGTCAATGTATATTTATCCTTCTTGTCCTCGTAATATTTACTTCTACCATCACAATGCTATCACATTTAAATAATATAAGCTTTTCAACAGTTATTCCATATCATGAATAGCTTCCGAGCTTTGTATTGGGCAAACTTTCGTATAAATATATTTATTCAATTTACAGAAAATCAATGAGGCAATAACTACGCTGATAAACTCCAAGAATATTAAGAGGGAATTTATTTATAAAAGTTTTCTTCTACAAACTGGCATTACTAATTCCATCCGATAAAATAGCATATCCCAATGACCCTGGAATATACTCCTGTTTCCTCTTCGAAGGCCGTCCATATATTTTGGTCAGTTGATGCCTAATCTGTTGATCAAAGTTTTACTTCACTATCCGTATTTAGCTTTCAGAACCCTATCGTTGGAATCACACATCAAAGGGTCTCATTGAAGTCTTTAGATCTACTACGTTTGTATCATTTATTAAAGATGATTGATCAAAGAATTGCAGACATGCTGACTCCATATTCTCATGTAATTCCATTTTATAAATCTAACAAAACTTCGTTATCCGTTTCTAATAGAATTATGCGCGTATTTCTTACTGTAACATCTGAAATCGATC